CTGGCTATGCTCTACTTTTGTCTGAAAGACAATCAAACTTATGCAAAGGATAAAAACCTTCCAACAAATGCCTCTACTCTAATGAAGGATGGAACCATTCAAGTATTAGAAGTAACAGATGATCCTCACCGCCATCATCCTTTTCGTCACTACAATCGTATTAGTGCTGAAATTGAAATGAAGATAAAGGGAATTGAAGGAGCAGTATGTCTTTCGTATGTTAAAAATCGTCACACTAATAAAGAGATCTTTACGATTAAAATTTATCACACTGATGATGATGATGACGGCTATTATGTACGTCTTGATATAAAAAATCAAAAGGGACGTGACACGGCAGATGAATATGTTAGCAAACAAATTTTGAAGCAGTTACATGAGGCTCTTGGAATTCCGGAGTGTCAGAAAAGAGAGATGATCTACCTGCTCTTTTATCCATACATGAGCAATGAACACATGACTATATTGACAACTTAACACAGACACAGAATAGTGTTGATTGATTTTGCAGCTCAGCATTGACATTCACATTATGGCATGCATCTATTGATCTATTGTGCACATTATCAATTTACCATAGCCTTTATATCAATCATAAAGATCTGGAAAGAACCAAATACTCCCCAAACAGGTTTTCCATCAGTTATTTACATGCATGCACAATATATAGCCATTGTAAAATTGTAATAGAAAAGTTAGAAAACTTTGTACATGTAAAGTTTGAACTTCAATTTTTGATTTATAATCAGTTTAAAAACTTACAATCCAGTTCCCTCAATAACACCATAAGCAGGACATTCCTTCAATGATAGTACTGATTGTGGGGCTGGCATGTTCTCATACTGTGGATTAACAACTGGTGATGATAGTTCTTGTACTTGTGAATCTACAATACAATTTATCACAGGAAACTGTCATTGAAACTTAGCATTACTTTGATTATCCTTCCCTTTCCTCTTGTAGTAGCACACAATAAATGTAACAACATTGATCACTACTGATAATATGAGGAATAATCCTGATGCACCAAACAATACTGCTATATAGTTTTAAAGCAATGAACTAATGAATGTATTACTATGCTTACCACTAGGAACAAATACTTCATTTCCTGATAGCATACAATCATTTATAAACACTGTACGTTGACAAAACTTCTATAAGTTCTCTTGTCACAGACACTTCAAAAGGTTCACTAATATCAAGTGTACTTTTGCTATTATCAGGAGTACAAAATGTATTCTTGCTAATACTGATACCAGTTGATACAGCAGCAGAAGTAGTAGTACACTCCTCCAGTGATTCACATGCATACAGTGTTAAGTTATTACCAGCTGGTATGTCAGTGATACACTGAGCGAAGTTCAGTTGATCATACGAGATATA